TAGACAGGGCCATTAGCTAAGCTCAAGCTAAATGGCCGATTTGGGCAGGCGGATGGGGCAGCTACATGGAAATAAAAATTTATTGCTAGCCCAAGAATAAGAAATCAAAGGCAAAGGCGAAGACGAAGGCGAAGGCATGCAGAAAACTTAACCCAAGTACTTTGAACTAAAGGTACACGGATGTGGCGCCCATTTGCTGTGAGTCCTCTCGCTGCTAAGGACACTAATAAAATATTGAACGGGCCATCGATAAGCGAAGCAGTTCCCCCTCCCCGCTCGCACCACTTGAAAACTTACGATAAACTCTAAACGGGAACGTCAACGAACCTTGGGCAGCTAGAAAAAAGGAAGGGAATTTGCCAAAGTGGAAAGCGCTTACGTAGGATGGCAAAGATGACGATTAAAACAAATTTCGACGACAACCTGGCGCCAGGTTTAGCCCAGCGGAAGGAAGCGAAATTGTTAAACGCAAAAGTTGCAAAATGCCAAAAGGAGTGCGAGGCAAACAGAACGAAAGAGTGAGCGAAGGGGAAGCGGAGCGGGGCTGACTGAAAGAAACGACTTAACGAAACACACACACATACACATAAGCTCGAGTGTGCTTGCACCTACACTCTATACAGATCTATGAGTGTATGTGTGCAGAAAAGATTTTACAATGCTCAACCACACACACATACACATGCACTTACTATGCATGTGTGTGTGAAATCGGAAGAAACAACTTTACAATACACGTACGCACACACTCACACATGCTGTGCACCTTCTCGCTCTCTCTCACACTCTCTGCTCACACTCCTCTCTATTGCTGGGCGTGGGCTGCATCGGCATGGGAACTTGGCAACTTGCAGACAAGTTTTAAATGAATGAGCAGCGCTTCCGTTCTATGCGTTACACTGCTGCTGTCCAGTGTAACTCGCTCTCTCACTGTGTGCGTACATGTGTGTGTGTCCAGCTCCTGCCAAGCATGACAATGCCTTGCATTGGAGATCTCGAGTGGCGGCCACTTGCCAATTGCGATTATGGTTTATGTACAGTGCGATAAAGGTCGTCAATAGGTCGCCACACACGCAAACACACACACATGCACACATATACACAGAAAAAGTCCTCTTGGCCATCCTTTCTGTAACATCCTTTCTGGGGACGAAAGGAGCAAGTTTCTTGTATCAGTTACTGTTACAAGTTTGCTGACCATTCGAGCGCCTTCAATGGCTCAATTATTTTTGGACAATTTGCGAATAAACCAAAGTTTGGCAGTGGCATTTCCACAGGACAAGGATGAGTCCATCGATTACACCCATTCGATAGTCACTGAAGTGGAAGCATGTGAAGCATTCAAGCCGCGCTGCTGGAGTGTTATTAGCGTAATTGAGCTGCTGACCAATTATGCATGCAAAGGACACGCTAAAGGCTATTAAAGTGCTTGGCTTTTTAGTTCATATTTTGTGTTCCCTATGTAAGCTACTCATATTCCATAATTCATATTCCATATTGCATATTGCATATTCCATATTCCATGTTCCATGTTCCATGTTATATGTTCCATGTTCCATGTTCCATGTTCCATGTTAAATGTTCCATGTTCCATGTTCCATGTTCCATGTTCCATGTTCCATGTTCCATCTCCAATGTTCCATGTTTCATGTACTCTGTTATGTTCCATATCCTATATCCCATATTCCACATCCCACATCCCATATCACATATGCAAATACGCTTTCTGCTCGACTCGCCTATGCTTGACAGTTCTTGAAAATTGCATTTTCTTAATTTATTTGCTATGCAAATTTATTTATTGACTGCATTTCGACTGGGCAAATGGCATTGGCCATCAGTCGGAGGACATGCCGCAAGGACATGCAATCATAAATCGATTGTCACACAAACACACACACGCATACATGCACGTGTCGTTGCATCCTTCACCAAACAGAACTTCAATCTCTGTGATGAAACGGCTCGAAATGAGATTTTACAAATGTGCTGAATGCAAACTATGACGTAGGCAGATTATGAGATACAGATGGACCTACGCTCAATCGAATTCAATATATATCAATCAATACGGCAATTGGGTTCATTTTGCTGTGGTTATTTAAGGTGTAGATAAGGCATATATATATATCGATAAGGTAACCAAAAGAACGAAGGATGTAGATAGCAAATGTGGCGTAGGAAGAAGAGAACAAGGAAGAGATAAGACACAGATATAGAGAGACACAGAGAGACGGAGAGACGGGACAAAGAGAGAAGGAGACTGCTAGAGAGAGATATAAAGATACAGAGTAGAGAAAGTGGGAGGTGTTAAGTCGTATTCTATTGTAAGATATATGAGAGCAAAAGCTACAAATTTACATACATACATATATCCTTACATACACACTTATATACACACATATTGTGCCCACTCAAACGCATACATGCAAACAAGTTTGACAAGTGTAAAGTGCTGAAGCTTTTTCAGCTTAATTTTAAAGCTCTTCTAGCTGTAAAATGTATCCAGCCACAATACAGCACAACCCTATCTAGAGACACTTTATAGCACAGTGCGAAACAAATGTCAAAAAAGATGAACTTAACCACACAAAATGCAAACAAATATAAACCAACACTCAACTCACGGTCACGCTCGTGCTCTCCTCTTCTCTCTCTCTTTCGCTCTCTTGCCGCTCAATAAAAAAACAATGTAGCTCAATTGGATCACGCGGCCAAGTGCCGTTGGCGTTGGCGTTGACGTGTAGAGTCTGAGTTTGCACTCACTCCTCGCTCACGGAGCGTTGCCACCGCCATCGAGAAATGCAAAAGCCAAAATTTACTGTGTGAATTTTTGCGCTCAGTGGCACATGCAAACATGAACAAGTAACGGGAAATGGCAATGTAGAGAGAGTTGCAAACGGTAGGAAGTGGAAATGGAAGTTGAGCCTGAAAATATGCAATGAGCCGAATGCGAAATTTGTGCAGACAAAAACCACAATGAGCCCCAAAATTGCCAACATAATTTATGTATGCGTGCATGGCGTGAGTGCGCGCGTGTGTGTGTGGATGTGCGCGTGTGTGTGCGGTGTTTGCCATTGCTAATTAGCGGCATAATTTAATTTCCAATTGGCAATTGGCAACGCAGAGCGTAGCGAATCAGCTGCCAACTGGAAGCCTGGCCTGGCACAAACATTTTAAATGAGCGACTTGTTGCGTCACACACACACAAACACACACACACACTGACGCACAAAACGATATATACACTGGAAGAAATTGTAATTTAGCTTTATTACTTTTACTAAAGAAATTTCCATGATTTTTGTAATTTACAAAAAAATCTTATTAGGAAATATTTATTATTGTAAGAGGTTCATAAATAATACTTTTTGTGGATTTTAAGCTTGAAAGTTTCGGAATGAAGATACATTTTTTAGAACAAATTAATCTTGTAGATTAAGAAGGAATATCGTCTGGTAGGTAGGAGGCAACCCAAGAAAGAGGACATTTTTACTAATGGGTAAGCAGAAGGTACCACCTGATTAACTATTTTAATATAGCTATATTAAGTGTTTTTATTAATATTTTTTAAATTTTTCATTATTATTTTTTCTAAAATCTAAGTTTAGCCCTAAGCTGAATTTTAAAATTTTTCAATTCTCGCAGTGTATGCATATGCACATGCTGAATATTGTCGCAAACAATTTTTTTTTGGCCGCAAGCGTGTGCTGCATAAAAAATGTTGCATTCAGCCACGGCCAACAGCACGCGACATCTTTTTGGCAACTGGGAATTGAAAGTTCTGCTTCAGTTGCAACTGAATTAAAAATTGAAGTTGGAGTTGGAGTTGAAGCAGAAATGCGCTGAAGAGAGCCAGCGCAATCGAATTAAGTTAAAATTGTACTGGACCCACACACACGCATATAGACACACACACAGACAGAGCAGCCATATGTGGTGTATTACACTAACAAATGATGTTGACCGCCCATGGTCGAGATGTTAATTAATCTTGATTTTGGTGCCGGGTCGAAAGTCGCTTGCATCAAAGTGACAATTAAATTAATCATGATGGCAAACGATTATGTCAACAGGACAGTGACTAGAGGAGACTAGGAACAGGACACGGCACGACACGACATGGCGTGGCGTGGTGTGGTGTGGCGTGGCTTGACCAGGACGCCCGCAGCGAGCGACTAGGAAACGGCATCGACTGTTCAAGGATTTTGCGCCTTTGCGAATTTCTCTGCAGTTGCGACACAATCTCATTATTTTCTGCTCTGAAACTTATAATTAACATTTTGACCGCAATGAAATTTGCACAGAAACAAAATTCAGTTTATGTAGGAAAAGTGGATAAAAAAATTATATAATATATAAGTGTGAACTTTATGCTCGAGTTATTTTTAATTAGTTTTGCGGTTTTACATATGCTATGCTTTAAAAAATGGCAAAAAGGGGAAACTTTTCTGTCATCTCGCTTTAAATAATGAGCCATATAATTTATATGAATATTATTATAAGTATATAATCAGTATTTATTATGATTTTTGTTTTTCTCGAAAAACAACATCAATATTAGGCTTTTATTAAACTTGTAGCTTAATTTTCGTGCTGAATCGCATTAATTTGAATTTTCGTGTCACGACACGCAACCAACTCATCCCAAAGCCAAAAATCATATTGGAAACAACTGAAACTGCCTTCTGGCCATAGCCAAGAAACACACCAACGTTCTGTTTGAGTGTGCAGCATAGAAAATAAATAAAACATACTATTAAAACTTTTGGTTAAATTTCCGTATTACAAGCTGTCCAATCAGTTTAACAATCAACTCTTTATACAGCTGAAAATCGTATTTGGAAAATGAACTATGCTTCAATTATAGGTAAGACACACAACAGAGCCTAAACTTTTTCGATAAGTCTGCATGACTAGAGTTGCGTTAAGTGTCAATTGATTTGTTTAAATATAACATTAAATATAATTAACATCATTCATATTTTCAATTTGTGAGACAAACGACTCCTCATAAAACTAAAAATTCATACTGGCAATAAGAACAGGAGTTCTTTGCTTAATCCAAGACACTCACCAATTATTTGACTTGTTTCGTTAAGTGAATAATTACAACACTGGCACACGTGGCGGCCAGTCGATTAGTATTGCTATCGTAATTTTCAGTGTTGAAAAAACCAATGTAAAGAAAAGCTATTCGCACGAGGCTACGCCAAGCAAAATTAAATATTCCAGTAAATTGAAGTAAAAATAAACAGCAGCAATGGCCGAAACAGAGCCGGAGGTTGAGGTCAATGGCACAGAAGTCGAGGAAGATGGCCAGGATGATGACATCAAGCAAAAGAAGCAAACGCGTCACGATGGCGGCGCCGCCGACTTAGAACGTGTGACAGACTACGCCGAAGAGAAGGAAATCTCAGCCGCGAATATATCGAGTGTAAATTGAAACATAAATTGTTTATTGAGATGTAAACTGAACTAACACTTAATTGATCAATTGCAGGCAGTGGAACAGTTTGGCAATCAGCGCAGCAAAGAAAACGAGCTGAGGGTGGCCAAGGAGAAGGAGCTGCAAAAGGTGCAGGTGAAGAAGGAGGACATTGAACTGATTGTAAGTACACGGACACGCCTCCTTTTTGCAATAGTTCCGCTTATTTGGCGCTTATCCCAACTACAGATGAACGAGCTGCTCGTCACTAAGGCCCAGGCGGAAAAGGTGCTAAGGGAACAAAGCGGCGATGTCGTTGCCGCCCTAGAGGCCATCATCAGCAGTTGAAGAGAGCCTGGAGCAATGGAGCGCCGTTTCCTTTACTTAGCAAAACACTGCTTTATTTGTACATTTATAATACTAGTAAAGAAAAATCAAATCAATCAAGTGGAATATAGATTTTTATATATGTTTATTTATGTGTGAACTAACCCATATTTAGTTTCTTTATTATTTATTATCCATTATTTGGCTTCTCAACCAAAACATTTGACTAATGAACCAGCAAGTACAGTGAAACCTCTCTCCTAACGTAAGCAACCTTAGAGACTGTTTAGTGTAGTAAATTTGGATCTGCCAAATACAAAAAGGAATTGCATGTACAGTAAAGCTTCCCTATTAGCTTTCAAGAAAGCTTTACTGTAGTACAATGGTTATTTTATGCATAGACAATGAATCAGATGGAACAGTAATACCGAAACACGCTCTAAATAGGATTTTACCATAGTTATAACTTTTTCACTTACATAAAGTAAACCTACATATACAGTGAAAGCTCTGCCGCAACAAACAGAGCTTTACTGTTGTACAATATATATAGAAGAAAGAAATCTTCTAAGCTAATAAATTGTTGCTTTGCTTGCGAGATTTTTCCATCTACTTAGGTCGAGAGAGAGGCAGCTGATGTTTCTCATTAAAACTATGCGCAAATATGTTAAATTTGATTTGAAGTGTGTGTGTTTATGTGTGTGTGTGCATGTGTATATGTATGTGTGTAAAAAGCGGATGCATAACAAATTATTTAGACAAAATCATATTTTATAACAAGTAAAAAAACTAGAATCAAAAACGAAAAATTGTTTAAATCACGTATAAATTTGATTGCGAGTGTATTGCGGATATTGAAATCATGTGATTATATACTTTTGCAGATTCTCGCACGATGGGGTATTTATGTTTTGAGCCTTCCGATACAGATCCCGATCGCCAAACGTGCGAGCCTTAGCCAACATCGAGTCACCTGTAAGTACAAATTTCAATTTCTATTCATGGAAAAAACTTCATTTTTTTTCAATCTTACGATAATTTCGCTCTCGACTGCAAGAGTGTTTCAAATGATTGACAAAATCTTCTTCTACCGATTCTTCCAAACGAGCAACTGAGCCTTGATATTCCGAATAGAAATTATCCTTTACATAATAGGGAATTTTCAGACCATTTGTCTCGCGCTTCACCGAGTATTTACTGAAAGAAGACAAAACGTTTAAATTAAAAAGCTCATCTATATCGCCAATATATCCATATAGTACTCACTGTGAAGGCGTTAAACTATACATGGGATCTGATATAAAAAAGGAGGACATCATGGACAAGCCGATGAGCAATAAAATGGGTAGCAAGTTGATCAAGGCTGATGAATTGTTCGTCTGCAAGCAAGTTCCCATTATTTAATTATATAATTATTTTTTGTTTATTTTTCACGTACGTCTCTGTCGTCACGTGCCTGATGCCGGCGTCGCTGCTGCCGCATGTAGACATTTTGTTGTGAGAATCCATTTTCGAAGAACATATTAAATATATCCTCGGGACTCATATTCGCTTGGAAGCCGCCATAATCATTATAATGCTGGCTGTGGCCATGGTGGCCACGAGTGCCGTGACCGTTTTGCGAATCGTTAATGCCATATAGATCGTAGTTCTTGCGCTTCTCCACATCGGTTAAAACGCCCGCAGCATTGCCCAACGTTTTGAATGCCTCCACAGAGCCGGGTGCCTTGTTCTTGTCTGGGTGCAGTTGCAAGGCGAGTTTTTTGTACGCTTTCTTAATCTCCGAGTCTGTGGCTGTCTTACTGACACCAAGCACCTCATAGTAGTCCTTACACCTGTTCAAGCATGAACAAAAGGTTATTAAAGATATTTTGGGTGTGAGTTACATTTAGTCGACATACTTTTTGACCTTGCGTACTGCCTCAATCTGGTCATTCGTATATTCCGGTGCATGGGGTCTGGAATCTGAGTTCACACGCTTACGCGGACCAGAGTCCGCATCTGCAGCAGCAGCTGGACGTTCCTTTCCATTGCCCGGCGAACTTTTCACCTTGGCCAACAGCTCTACAAAGTTTCGTCAAGTTTTACGATTACAGTGCAAATTTAGATAAGTGTAAATTTGCTTTACTCACGCTTAGCCTTTTCCGTAGGAAACAGTTTTTCTGCTTTTATCAAAAACTTTTCAGCCCGCTCGATCTTTCCTTCAGCGTATGCCTGCTCGGCCAGGTCAATACAACGCTGTGCCTCACCTTTGTTGCTATCCATCGCTGCTGTAGGTACTTGGGAATACGTGGTCAGCGCGCACACAGGGCGAGAGTGCAATAAATAGTTAAGATCTATGCGTGTGTGAGTACACTAACATAAATATATCTATATATATATATATACAAAGTTTTATACACTCACACGCACACACACAGCCTGCTCGTGCTCTTTTGTAGTAGTTGTTGCCACTAATTATTTGTTTAATGTTCTAGTGCACATGAGCTGCCTGGCCTGTTAATAACCCAGTTTCTGTTTTTTTATATATTCATATATATAAATATATATAAATATATTGTCTAAAGGCCAGCTCAACTCTCTAATTTAATTGATTTTACTGCGTTTCGTTGACTTTTTCATCAGTTTGCAAAAGAAATTATCGATCTATCGACGTGCCACCATAGCTAGTCGAGGTTTAAATTGTTAGATAAGCATACTGAATTTAAAGGTATTTATTGCGTAAAATCAAAAGGCCCTGAACATAATGAAGTACATTTTTTGTATGTTTTTACTAATCGAGTTATGATAAGCATTATTTCCTGTGTCGATTACAAATAATTCACTTTTGACAGCTGTTTTACAGTGCTGCTTTGATCAATGGTGATGCCAGATCGCCGCATTGCGCCCACTCACATTGTCGAACGTATTTATTTGTGTGCGTGAGTGTGTGTGTGTGTGTGTGTTTGTGAGCGCCGCAGCATGGAATGAAAAGCGCAGCGCGTTCGCTGGCTTAATTCGTCTCGTATTTATTTATAATATTACAAAATAATAATAGAATGTGCACGGTATCTGCAATGCAATAGCCACCAAATAACGCGTAGTAAATATATAGTCAAGTGCAGTGCAATAACCGATGCATTTCGGCCCAACGTAGTCCCCGTCGTCGTCGTCGTCGAACGTGTGTACATGTGTGCGTGTGTGTGGCGCAGTTCACACAAGTTGGCCTGAAAAAAGTGAAAGAAGCAATATCGCCATATTGTGTTGTCAATATCGAAAAGTGCATTAAAATCTATATTCATTTGTTAACACAACAAATGCTCAGCGAATTGTGTGTATTGCGTCGACTTATATAAATCGAATTGACAGTACGCAATTAAGAAAAATAACTATCTTCAAAAGGTGCGTATGTGTGTGATTCTTTAGGTGTATTTATGCATATATATAAATATATGCATGTGTGCATATACATATAGGCAAAATTACACTGCATACCACTGTCGTACGATATGTGTGGGTGTGTATTTTCTGTAAATACAGAGACCCAAATTTTTTTGCCTCCATGCAGCGGCCTGCAAATTAATCGAATTCAACTTTGCCTCCCCTTTCCCCATTTAGTGCATTGCTTCATTGTTTTTATTGTACCCTAATAAATATATCGGGCGTGAAAACATGATTCCAAGATAAGATCTATCGATAGAAAAAACATTAATCGATAAGAAACACGACAATGTTTTTATTTTGTTTGGAAACTATTTTGATGAAATTTAACTAACATGGTTCCTTAGATGAAAATGCACATAAAAAATATATATATTATGAAATATTTTATTAATAATTTTTTAAAGTACTAAATCGAATTTATTATATGAAAATGACTTTATTTATATTTGTTTGTTGCTGTTACATTCATATTACCTAAAGGGTATTCTGAAGTTGAATATACTCCGAGTTGTTTATTTTTGGCTGATTTACTTTTTGTGTTTTTTGAAACTTTTTTTAATTCTGAGGCGAATAAATGCAAGCACAAAGGGAACAACGGCAACAATAACAACAGTCGCGGTAAAAAGTCAAAGACCGATTTGCGCATATTTAATTTGTTAATTTTGCTGCTCGTTAAATGATTTCGTTAAATTCACACAAGCATAACGAAAGGTTATTCGAATGCAGTTTTTAATCGATCCGCAATCACTATATTCCATTATTCTTTATATATTTACAGATTCTGCTGGAACACTTGTTCTTGTTTGCTGTTTACACAACAATCGACGTTCAAATAGGTTTGCTCGATTTCGGGACATCGTTGGCTGTCAATAGTTAAAGAAGCAGGTGAGTTATCTCATTAATAAAGTTGTTTGGATTGCACCAGTTATCGATTCGTGATACCGGCTAAAGATGTTTCCCCAATGTGAGCTTTCTATGTATATTTGTATTTTCTTTAGATGACTTCCTGTATATGATTAAACCTTGAGCTCTTAACCGTGGTTAAATCTAAGCAGCTTTTTAAATATAGCATAATCCTTCTTACTCCCTGTTTGCCAACTGCTCGTTACTTTAAGTTGACAGCTGAGAGCGAAAACACAAAAAAGCTCGACGCAAAAGCAAAACAAATGCTGAGCAAAAGTACAAATGTAGCGGCAAAATGTGAAGATACACACACTTATACTACTAGGCAAAAGCTTCATCTATCATCCGGCTGTGACAAACTTCTCGTTACTCTACGATGACAGCTGAGAGCGTAAACGCAAAAAGCTCAGTGCCAATGCAAACAAATACAATGCAAAGTCAAAAGGTAGCGGCAAAATATGAACACACACACGCGCGCACACACACCACTGTCAGGCAAAAAGTCAAGAAAAAAGCTCCCTCAGTCGTCAGCTGCTGCGCGTAGCGTGAAGTTTGTGCTTTTTGTATCGCTGTCTCGTAGAACGCGTCTAATTGTTAAACATTGGCTACAAACTATTTAAAATTACGCGTTGAAGAAGCTGATTTAAGTTTGCCATAGTGCCAAGGTGTGTGTGTGTCCGTGGGTGTTTGAAAAGTTCGGGTGTAGTTTTACATATTTCAATTAATTTGTAACTGCCGGCCCATAGCGTGACCAGCACGCGTGTGCCTTGCCCCTTGTTGGCTTTTTTATGACCTCAAAAAAAATAAAATATTTACTAGCTTGAAACAAGAAATACGCGCAATTAAACACACAAAAAGCGAATAAACGGAGAGCTTTACAACAACAACAACAACAAGAGCAACGAGAACTACAGAGACAACTTCCTCAATCTGAGTGCGACCACATTTTTACTTATACTCTTGAATTTTTGGTTGCTTGAGGTCATTTAGGCAAAGACCTTCAAGTACACACAGTCAATAAAACAAATACCACAACAATAATAACAACAACTATATAGGTACATCAAATGATGACAGGCGGCTTTACCGAAACGCACTCAAGAGCAATAACGCTTAACTCATCTTTGTTCTTGCTCTCTATGCGCTGCTCTCTTTTTCTCTCTATCTGGTGACGCAAATCACATTTCCATTTTGGATAAAAACAGTTCTAATTAAAAGTAGAGATTGCTTGTCTCAAAAGCGTTGCCAGATTTGCAAAAATTTGTTAGCAATAAATATAAATTCTGCCAACAACAACAGCTATTGCAGTCAGCATTGAAATTCTCGAGCACGCTCACGCTCTGTCTCTCTCCCTCATCTAATATATAAGTAAACATGTATATGTTCTCTTGCCCGCATATATAAACGTATATTTGTATAATTCTATTCGTCTCTCTCGCACACATAACATATGTTTTGAATTCGCCTTGCTGGCCATACAAAAGTAAAATTCAATTAAAAACATGTGCGCCACTATTTTGTTTATTGTTTATAAATGAGCACGCACTTAACAAGCTTAGACGCGCTCTCACTCACGCACTCGCTGGCTCGCTCGTTTGCGCTCTCCTATTTTGCGTACTCTCCTCTGAGGTCATATGCTTGGCGCGCTCTATAGTTAAACAGACAAGACACCCACCGCTATTTACTGCTATCAAACGACCCTCGCCGGTGCAGGTTTTGCCTCATTGCTTGTACACAAATGAGTGAGTGTGTGAGTGAGCAAGAGCGAGAGCCTGAGTGAGCGGGTGGCTGTGTGAGCAAGTGAGCGCTTAAGCTTCGGTGCAAAGTCAAAAGTAAACGCAAGCTTTTTATTTCTGCGCATGTTTTTGGCTTTTCTTTGTGCTTTAGTTTTAGCTTTTATTGTATTTTTTATTTTTGTATACTCTCGTACACACGAACTACACATATGTGTATTATATATATGTATACACACACATTGAAATCAAATCGACTGATATAGGAAGAACCTTGTATACTCTCATGACTGTGGAATTTAGTTAGTAGTTTTTTCTCTCTCTCTCTCTGTCTTTCTGCTTGTTTGCACTTCTCATTGCTGGTCGTTGGTGTTATTGTTGTTGCTGATTCACATTCACATTAAGTTTCCTTTGGTTCGCTCTGTGCTCTGTGCACTGTGCACCTAAGAATCTATTCTAAATGGATTGCAAAGACGTTCCAAACGAATTTCTGCCCTCGCTTCGCTTGTCTTTGGTTATGGGTAAAAGGCGCTCATCTCTACATTTTTGCTCATCTCTGGTTGCCTGGGTGTCAATGTTGACCTCGCCTGTGCCCAGTGCACAGTTATTGATTTTGTTCTAATACCCTTTTCATTCCTAAAGGCTTAAGCATTTTATGCTCAATTCTGTGACGTATAGATGTCAATCAGAAATTCTTAATAGAACAGATTTATAAAGAAGTTTTATTAGTTGTAAAATACAATAAAAAAATAAAAAAACTTATATGAAGTTATGTTTTAAAGCGCACTTACGTTAGTTGTATACAAGGGCTTGTAGTGTGCGATATGTGCGTATGAGCTAAAGCTAACGGTTTTTTTCCTTTGCTATTTTTGTTTTTGCTTATATCAATCCTTTTGCCGGGCCATGTGCAAATGGACGTAGCAGAGTCAGCAATTGCTAGTGGAATTGCTGTTGCTGTTGTTGTTGTTGCTACTGTTTTTTATTGTTTTTACAGTTTAAGTTCTCTCTGTTGCTGTTGCCGTTGCCGTTGTCAGTTGCTTGCCTTTGTTTAATTTCGTTGCTTATCAGACAATGCTGATAAGTTGACTGAGTATTTTTTGTCGTTTCGAATCATCTGCTTGTTGTTGTTTTTACTTTTGGTCGATGGCATTGAACATTGTTTGCTGGTTTCTTCACCCTTCTTTTATGTATGAGTGGATATGTGTGAGTGTTTTTATTTGCTGCTGCTGCTGATTTGGCTATGTGGCTATGGCTTTTTTACTTTGTTGCGCTCTTCAACAATTTCACGCACAAATATCACGTAGACGGGTGTTTCAACTTGGCCATAAATGTGGTGACACACGTACACCCTGAATTGAATGTGATAAATTTTTTATACATGTATGTGTGGCTGTATATATGTGTGTGTTTCTGACAATTTTGGCGGATGATGATCTCTTCTGTTGGTTATTGTTGTTGTTGCAGTTCGCAGTTTTTCCGATAAAAAACAAAGCGTACTTTAAGGCGTTTATTGTTTAAAAAATACGTTGGGTCTATATCTATCTCTGTGTGTGCTCTCTCTATCTATTTGTTCAGCTAAACTAAAATTGAAAACTAGAAAACTAGAAAAAGAAAATTTGGCAGCAAATTGAAAAGGCTAAACATTTTTAAAAATTCCAATACAAAAACCAAATTCAAGTGCAGTGAACTAACAATTTATAAATAAATAAGTAGAAAAATT